ATTTTTGCGTCACTGGCTCCAAAAATCCAAGATGTCAACCAGGAAGTAGCAAAACCCTGGCTTCATTTTCTCAGTGCAGAAACCAACGGGTGATGTCACGGCAGCTACGTCCATCTGTTATACAGTCTATGCTACCAACACTGGAAAAATACCTGGTGATTTTACATACTATAGGTATTTTACTGCTTGCATGTTTAAATTGTTTCCATACTTGTCTCCTCTCTGCTCAAGTTAAGCACAGCCTGCAGTTCAATCGAGATGAAATGTTTTTTACATGACTGTTGGTCACAGCTGAGTCAATATTTGGCTTCACGTTTACACCGGGGAGCACCAAATTTTTAGTTTTTTACAGAAGCTAGTTAGTGCAAATGGTTAATTTTTTACCAAATTTTTCAATGAGACATGTAGAATAAACCAATTTGGTTAATTTTCCCAGTGGAACAGCACGTCACAGATGAGTGAATATTTAAAATCTACCAGTTGGCTCTGTTTGTACAATTTTTTGTTCTGATAAATGGTGACCGTTTGTAAAGCCAACATGCTTGTCAGACCTGCCAGTGGGTTTTGTGGTTCAGAGTGCATCTTTTATCTTTGGAAGCAGTTGACGAAACGTGTCCACATTTTTTCCATCTTCAGAATTGGAGAAACTCAGTGATAACTTCCAGCTGCTCTCGGCTCTCCCTGAGTCCACCAGGTCCTCTCTGCTCCAGCAAATCACCAAACTCATGCAGGACCGAGCAGCCATCAGTGCACTTCAGAGTGTGGTGAGTGGGACACGGAGGTCTTGCAGATGCACTAATATCACAAAGAGTTATAAGATCTTAACTCTTGTCTTTCTGTGTCTCAGCTGGACCACATGTGCCTGAATAAGAAACCTAACCTGAGCGATGTCGCAACAACAGAGTCTCAACGACAGAACATCCAAGTAATCCTGGATCTTTTGGAGCAGTGTGGTCAGGAGGGGTCAGCTCAGTCCACATCCGTCCTCACAGCCCTCCACCTCATCACCAGCGCCTTGGATGGTGAGAAAAGTTATTCTCTGCATGGCCTTTATTACTCAATCTGCTGAAAGAAAATCTCATTTTGAGGTCAGGAGGAGAAGGACGTGGCGCTGTAGTCCCCTCTGCAGGCACATTGTCCTGAAAACCTCATTTCCTGAAGTTCTTTGTCATTCTTTATCTGGGTCTTTCAGAGATGACAAATGACTGCCTGGCTACATTGGGAATGTGCTGCAGCCCTGCAGAGTTACAGACCCTGGAGAGACTGGTTCGTAAAGTCTGTTTTTACAAAATGAATGCCACACAACAACATGTTACATGGATGTTTTGTAAATGTTTCATTAATGTTTCTCTCTCTCCTGCACAGGTGCAGTGCGTATGTGGAAACGGAGAGCTGCCTCTGAGCAGCGCCGGTCTGACAGAGAACATCTATGAAAAGGCTGAGCATCTGTTTGCCTCCTCTAACGTGTCCCTGAAGAAAGACGGGGACGTGGTGAAGACCGAAATAAACCCAGAGCCGGGACATCTTCCTCTGGTCCTGTGCATCGCTGTCAGGGGTCTCGCCTCATTGGCCCACAGTGTTTGAACAGGAGACAACTTTACATCCAGCAGAAACTTGAAATGCCCACACAGGTATGAGGTTAAACGGGACCACACGGATAAAATGCAATCTGTGTTTTTACTCCCTCTTGTTTTTTTTTTTTATAGCTGCAGGATGTCTTTTTAACAGTGTGTTCTTTAGCACATGCATTTTCTGCACAACCACTGGTGCTGCAACAACAACAACAACAGGGCTTTGTTAACGAACTGGTCTATTTCTTGTTGAGATGATTTGGTCTGGAGTCAAATATAGCACATGACAATCAACATCCCTACTCTATTTATTATTGGATAATTGTATAAATAGATATATAGAACTTGAATAACTAAATTTTGTATGAATTTTGACAATCAGTTTAGGTATTGATTTTGGACTCTTGGCTAAATAAAGTAAGCATACAAAAAAAAAACTGGATTATATGAGCAACATAAACATACAGATGAATCCGAATATACTTTGTAATATTTAGATTTTTAGTCTAATATTGCCCTTGATGGTAACATGTGTGCGTAATCCTCAAGCAGAGCTGCAACAATTAAAATAATCACCAACTTTTTGATGATTCATTAATTGGTTGAGCAATTTTTCTAGAAAAAAAAAAAAGTCTAATTTCTCTGATTCCAGCTTCTTAAACTTGAATATTTGAGAGTACACTGGATATATTTCAACAAAAAAAGACTGCTTTTTGGGTACTTTTCTGACACTTTATAGACCAAACAACTAATCCATTCATCGATAATGAAAATAAACTTTAGTTGCAGCCCTACATACAAGACATAAATGTGCCTGGTGTCTTTAAAAAGCATCTCATTTTTTTTTTAATGTAATAACATTTGTCATCAGTATATATGATAGTATTATTGTGTCAGTGTCACAGAGACTTAACCTAACCCTCTCACTTTGTAACACAAACACTAACTTTTGATATCGGTGGTCTAATGTAATGTCTGATCCCTGAAGGCCTTGCTAATGGATTTGTTCTCCTTCACAGTTTGTGGGTTTAGATTGTAAAAACTTGTCTTACTTTTTTTTTCCTATTTAATATTGCTGTAATCAATTTAAAAATGTTGCATTTTTGCATCCCAAATTGAAGCACTTCCTCCAAAGAGATTATTCTTTTTAATGTTCCAACCACAACCTCATTTTGATGCACTTGAGCAAATTGGTTTATGAATATTTAAACTTCTGGTGCCGTTGATTTTATTGTGCCTCAGTAAACAATGTTATTATTGTAAATTGTTTCCACTTAAGTTGTATGTTTATTTCTACGATGCAAAAAGAAAAATCTAGACAATAAAACCACCTCAGATTGTTGTAACCATTTTGTCTCTTTTCGCTCCAAAAAACAAAATCCAAAGCTGACGATTAGAAAACACCAGTTATTTATTTGACATCTGAAAATACATCTTATCTGAAATCTTGTAAAATATACCTTTTTTTTTTCTTTTCTTTATAAGTAAATATCGACTTTATTTTAAAACTGTTAAGTTTTAGTATTATCACATCAAAAGGGATGGTTCACTGAGATGCAGTACCCTGTTCCAGAGTCCTGTGGAAAGTTTTTCGTTCAAACACAAACACAGCACCAAGTCGACTGGTCTAACAGTCAGAAACAGTTACATGATCCAAACGTCCGACAAACAATCAGCATAATCAATGTCTGTTCTTGAGAGAAAGAGAATTAACGGGTAAACACTACAGTATTACGTTTTTCTCCCTGTACAACAGTTTCCTGTTCGTGAAGTTGAGGTTAAGAAGACGTAGGGGCGTAAATGTTGCCTTCAGGAGGACAAAGGTCTCAACAATATGACTCTAATCTACATGAACGACAACAAGTTTGTAGTGACGAAATGAGATGAAGTACTGGACGCATATGCACTGTAAACTGTAACACTGAGGTATCGTCCTTTTCAATGAGCAAGCCCTCATTTTCTCAGAATAAATACAATTTACCTATCTTACATACAGATGTAAAATTAAAACAGGACATGGCAAAAGACCGCGTTTGCTTTCGGAACAATCTGACGCGAGGGCCAGCGTTGTCTTCCAATGTGTTTGAATAGAAAATATTCTTTAAAAAATACTTGCCAATAAATAAGTACACTTCCCGTGTGTTGTGAGTTGCATAGTGTGCTAGAAAGGAATCTGGCAGTTCAGATCAAGGTGACTCTGATGCAGCTTTGTGCGAGACCCAGTTCACACAGGGCCGATGTCCAACACTTTGTCAGTGTGCAGCTCGGTGTTGAATCCCCTTTCATCCCAGGCCTGGCAGCTCGAACGGCGGCGTCTGTCCAGTAGGGGGTAAAACATCAGTAGACCCAGCTGACTGGAACCCACTGTGGCTCGATGAATAGCCGCTCCACCGTCTCCTGCAGCTTGTCAAAGGCCTTGTCCAGATTGTCATTGACAATTGTCAGATCAAAGTAGTGGCTGTACGCCCGGCGGATCCTGGCGCTCTCATCCACAGTTTTCTTTAAATCGTTCTCCTGTAAAAGACGAGGCATTCAGCCTATTAGTATGATTAAAGAAACAATTATTTGGGAGTAATAACCACTTAAACTCCCATCGTGATTTACAGTCGTGAACAAAAGTTTACATACACTTGCATGGCAGTCGTGACTTTCCAGTGACTCCTTCAATTCAGTATAGGTCTTCTGGAAATATGACTAATCTGTTGTGCCAAAAATAGATATACAGCAACTGGAAACATCAGCTTTGGTGATAGTTCATCGAATTTTCTTAGGCCCTGTTTACACGTAGCAAAAACGGTGATATTTCAATGCCTTTGGTTTACACATAAACGAAGCTACGAGTCGCCGAAAACGATCATTTCTGAAAACTCTGGCCAAAGTGGAGATTTTGGAAAACTCTCATTGCATGCAGACAGGAGGAGTTCAACAGCACAATATGCAACAAAAGCGTCATATGTGTGCAACCCATGTTTACAGTTTGGCTGCTGTCATAATCGTCAAAAAAGGATGCGGTTGAAGCAGTGCTTGTTTTTACGTTTGTGCCAACGCTTCTGGCCTGTTTGCATTTACATTCAGAAATGTTCTCCGTAGTGAAGCTCCACTTCTCTGTCGGTCCAAACGAACGACCCTCACGCCATTATCGGTGAAGTAACAGAAAGTAATTTGTGCCATTAGTTGTTGTGTTTTTTTCCAGGATTCTGATTGGCTGGCATGGCTTTATGCTTCTTGTTTCCCTGCCTCCTATAGGTTTGGCATGCTCATAGCAGCTCTTGTTTATTTGGATTTGTGTAAACAGTGTTATCTTTGATAACGTAGATCTGTTTCTGTAAACACCCGGGTATGTGTAAACGTGGCCTTAGTTGCATAACCTCTTAATTTGTCATGAGTGATTATGACTGACTACAGCTGCTGAGTCCTCTGGGCCTATTTGATGCACTCATCAGACTCAGCCACAAACAGAATCAAATGTTGTTTTTTTGATTGTTGACAAAGAGGCATGTCTTCCAATGATTCCATCACAGAAAATTAGGAGTTAAAGGAGTCACTGGAAACTCAAGACAGCCATCATAGACATGCTCTTGTATGTAAACTTCTGTTTATGCCTGTATATGCATTTGGAAATCTTCTGAAAACTTACTGTGAGTAGTTTGGTAGTAAGTCCAGCATCTACCACAGCTTTGTGCATAGCTCTTAGTGTGTCCAGTTCAGGAGCAGCAATGAACACCACGAATGGCATAAACTCAGCAGTCTTCAACACTTTTAGGGCCTGCATTAAAAAAAAAAAATGTTATCTCACAATCACAACTTTAGAAAAAACACATCCATACATAGTGTGTGTGCCTCAGGGCTGCATGATATGGGAAGAAACTGACCTAGTGACTTTTCAGTTATCTACAAATCATACGTGACTAAAATGTGATGAGAGTGAGAGAGTGAGTGCATCTGGCAAAGGCACTGAGTATCTATATATTTTTTGCTTGGATGACATTGACCTTTGCATTCATCCTCTAAAGCTTTGTGGTGCTGATTTTAGTGTTCAGACATACTGTTGCCTCAGTTTTTGGTCTTAGCAACAAGCTTTCACTTGCAGTGTTGTGCTACATTCCTGCTAGCGAACAAATCTGCCTCAAAATTAGGCTTAAAATATTTTTTACCTAATTTCAGTGCATCTCCTAGAGGCAAAATGTGAATAAATTGTACCCACGAAGCCTCATTGGTTTTCTCATTTACAAAAGAAAGCTACAAATTACCGACATCCTCCAAACGCTTCACATGCAGTCAACAATAGAAGAAAGCAAGTCAGCTGCAGCACCATGAACACAGAAGCCTCTAGTCTCTGCTTAGTGTAGCAACTCCGACAGACGTTAGACCAAAATTTCTTTGAAAAGAGACATTCTAATGATTTGACTGCATTGAAACTAAGTGGATTGTTTTCTATGAGCAAAGTATTTTAATATCGCAGCTTACTGTGTTCATTTAATTGTGAGAAGCCTAAACCGTGAAAGGTGATTAACATTCCATTAGTTATACAGTCCTATAACTGACACAGCATCTTTTTTTGCCATCAAATCTTCCTCCTCCACTAATTTTACTGTGCATGTGTGGAGCCTGCACATCAAAAACCCTTTGTCAAGTTGTTAAAAAACTTGGCAAATGGCAACTATGCAAGATTTTATTTCTGCGTCAAGTACCAAAAAAAAGATGCAACCACGATGTCGATGCTGAAACGATGCATGGTGCAGCCCTGATGTGCCTTTAACTGACCTGAGGGTTGACGTCCAGGATGCAGGTACGGCCAGCGTCCACCACTTCGTGGATGGAGTCGATCTTGGTGCCGTAAAGGTTTCCATCGTACTCGCCGTGCTCCAAGTAACGGCTCTCCTTGATGTCCTTCTCCATCTCTTCCCGCGTCACGAAACAGTAGTTCTGGCCATCTTTCTCCTCCTCTCTGGCACGGCGTGACGTAACTGCAGGTAAAAGGTAAGGACAGGTGTTACAGGAAACCAACTACGGTTAATTCAACTGCTCAGCTGTCTTCTTACACACTCACAGGGGACAGTGGTTCCATATCTCAGAGGATTCAGGACGATAAGTCTGTTCTTCAGGCTTCGCCTTCCGACACCCTGAGCTCCAATCAGAACCAGTGTTTTCCTCTGGAACGGGGGCATCTTTGCTACCTCCTCATAGATCTGCAGCTCATAGCGATCAAACTCTGTTGAAGGCAACACACAGGCTCAATAAGAATCATAGCGTCACTGTCATTTATTTGATAACTAGGAACACTAGAACCAGTGGTAATACATACCTGCATTCTTGGCAGTGAGGTACATCATTTTTTTCTTCTTTTTCTTTGCATTTCGAGTCCCGCAGAGCATCCCTGAACCACAAACACAAGGTGTCAGTACACCACATGGTGGTGCTAAAGGCTCCAGATTTGTGACTATGATAAAAACTAAACAAGAGCAGCTGGTACAATGAGAGCGAGAAGAACGGATGTGGTTTGTACTGACCTGTACCAGAAGTGTCCCAGTCCCTTCTCACAAAAGCTTTCCTCTTCTCTTCCAAGAACTGACTGGGGATGAGACCAGTGGCTCCACCAACAACTTTGCGAGCCTATATAAAAATCAGAGATGGAGAGATGATATTAGTTTAAATATTTCACAT